CCAGGATGCAGGGTTCTTTCCTGGCATCTGGCAAGTGCCGCGGCTTTGCCAGGTTCATCATCAATCTTCTTATCAGGCAGAAAACTCAGGATTGGGCCGCCACCTGTTTTAATGGCCAGGGGAAGAAGAAGGCTGCTGCTGTTGGTCCCTGGGGGTGAAGGTGCAATGGGATCTGTTGGAGAACAGCTCTTTGAAGATGGCTGGGTTTTTTTGTTTGTTTGTTTTTTTAAAACAGATTTTGTCTTAGCAGCCACTTGCCTTTGGGGATGTTTGCATCAGTTGGTAAGGAAGGTTTCCTCATTTTTAGGGGTAAAGTCATCAACCTCATCTTGCTTCTGTCCATGTTTTAGGGCCACCCAGCTGAGAGATAAAGGCACTCCACTCTGGCCCTGCCCCGCCAGTTTGGGCCCGAATGAGGACCACGTGCCTAGTGGCCCTCACTGGACTGAACCTTGTAAGGCAGATTTTCTGCAACAACATTTCTGGCGCCTGGGAGGCCTGGCAGGAGAGCCACGTGACCACCAGCCCGCTCCCTTCGCCGCCAGGGCTGCTCCAGCTGAGCTGCCAGAGAGGGGGGGATGATTTGCTTCCCCCTAAAAGAGAGGAAGGGGAGACGGGGAGGCCCCGGCTGCCCTCTGGCTCTTTTCCTGGCTGCTCCTCGACTTGTGGGCTCCCTTTGGCACCAGTTGCTCTTTCCACGGTGCAGCCTCCCTCCCGCACCGAGTGATGGAAGGGAAGAGGATGCTTGTGGCCTCCGGGAGATGCTGAGGGCCTGTGCAAGGGTGGCTGGGGGAGGGGTGGACTCCCTGCGCCGCTTGTTCTAGGGAAACCAAAGGAGGGCCTCCACGCCGAGTCGTTGCCTTTGAACGAAAAGAGGCCCCAGAGCATCCCGTCCTCTTGGGTCGCCTGCCTGGCTCCCTCCCTTCACACACACACCCCCCCACTCGGGCTCAGAGGGACCTCCATCCCCTCCCCATCCCCCAAGGGGCCCTTTTGCTGCGCCCCTTTCTCTCATGGCCTGTGGGGATGGCTTTCCCCTTCCCTTTACTTTTGCCCTCGGCCCCAGCCGGTGTGCCTCGAAGTGGGTCCTCTGCTGCACCCCACAGCTAGACCTCACTAACCCGGCCCCAGTCAAAAGACCCCTTCCTCAATCTGCAAGGAGCGAAGCGTGTGGGATGATGATACAGCTTGGCAGAGGCAGGGGCAGAGGAAGGAGCTTCCAGATGCAGACTGACCAGCAGAGTGGCTCCTTGGGGGCAGATTAATGGCAGGTGAATGAATCCAAGCATTCGCTCCTCCGGAGTGGTTGGAGGATGAGAAAAGGGGAGGACGTGTGTGTGTTCTGCCTGGAACAAGGCAGAATAATGTGCAAAATTCAACCAGAAAGTCATAGATCAGCATGCAAAAGCAGCCAAGCTGTGCACAGCTGATGTTTTAAAAGCAGAAGAGAGCAGGGCTCAATTGTGTAGTAACCAAAAACCCATTTTCCATTACATGTTTCAGAAAGGGGGTGGGTGGGTCAGATGTGGATTTTCTCAATTATTTGTCAAAATCCCTGTTGTCTGATAAAATCCGATACTAAGTACATTGTCCTCTCGGCTGCTGGGAAATGACTGTGGGTGGCAGAGAGATCTGATTAGAGCAGATATTACCTTTGGAGCAAAGAGCCCTGGTGTTCCAGCTCGGTGGGTTTGCCCTCATGAGTGACGAGGTTGCCATTTGCACTCACTTCCAGATTGGCACCACCTCTGAACAGGAATCCACACAGCCCCTAAGCACCTCAGGGCCAGGTAGGTGCGTATGCGTGGCTTTGTGTGCTTGTGCAAGCAGTGTGCCTCAGTGCTGAACAGATGCCAGCAAAGACGGGCCAACGTCAGCAGTCTCGCAGCTCTGTGGGGGCCATTTGTCAATATCCCTCCTTTGCAGTGGGCTTTTTCTCTGGCTCAGATCTCTCAAGGGGGTGGTTTCTTAGAAATGGAGAGCTGGAGAGAACCACGGAAGTCATATAGTCAACCCTGGCTGCTCAGTGCTGGTTTCAGCCACAGAATTTCTGGGAGCTGCGGTTCTGTCTTCTGTTTCAGTCCATCCAGTGAAGAAGAGCCTCTTGCGGGCACCCCAGCTTAGATCAGGGATGTCGGGAGTGTTCAGGGTGAGCATATTGTCAGGTACCTTATCGAGTCTGAACTCCTGCCAAGGGCTAAACACGTTCTGTTGTTCTGGACCTGCAGGGGTGCACATTCACCTGAAGCAGGAGCAGGACCCTTGCTGTCTTACCCTGATCTCCCACCGATTTCCCCTGTGGCGGGCCTGCTTCGCTGTGTCGAACAACAGAGCTAGCTCTGATCAAAAAGTTCCCCTTTTAATAATGCAACCCAAGATCATCTTGGCATTTTCTGCGATGCATCCCATTGTAATTTCATGTCCCGCATGTGCTGAACTAAGACACCTTAGCTCTTGGACTCTGCAGGGGTGTCACGGCCGTCCCTCCCCCCCCGCTCCGCCTGGCCTTGGGTTGCGTGTTGCTGCATTTCCCTCTGCCAAATTTCATCTTGCCCACATCCTCCAGGACCACTTTTTATTGTGCTGCTGTCTTCAGGGTTGTCTGCCGCTACCCCCACCCGATCCCTAGCATCCCCTCTTCTCCTTCATCCAAGTTGTTCACAAAGATATTTAAAAACAAACAACACACAAACCAACAAAACCCCAGGCCTTCAATCCAAGCCCAGAGGCACTCTGTTCAAGACCTCCCGGAGGTTGGGACAGAGGCCTTAACAAGTCTTCTGTGAAGGGCAGGGGACCTGCCGCTGTTGGATAGATGATGGCAACTCCCATCATCCTTCATCTCTGACTCTACTACTGCTGGGGCTGCTGGAAGTTGAAGTCTGGCAGAACTTTTAACTCCATGTGAGTTTTCTTCAGGCTGGACACCATAGAGTTGTGGCCCTTAGAGAAGAAACATAAAACTTCCCAAAAGCCATGGACAGACGCGAGAGTCAGGCTCCTTTGTCAAGAGAGTTTCAGAAAAGGGTTGCAGAGGCCAGAGATGTTGGTTTCAGGCGTCACCTGTGGTGGTGGTGCCAAGTTGGAACCGACTTTTAGTGACCCTAATAGGACTTTCAAGGTAAGTGAGATATTGAAGGAGGGGCTTGGCCAGTTCCAGTCCCCCGCCCCCCCCAGTGAATTTTCATGGCTGAGTACGAATTGGAGCCCAGGTCTCCAGAGTCCTAGCCTGTCGCTCTACCCACTACACCACACTGGGTGCTCCGTGGGGGTGTGGACTGAAATGTCTCTTTCAATCTCATTAGACAAAGGGTTGCCAGACTCTCCAGGTTGTTTGCTGAACCTTCCGTGGGCCATGTGGCCGCCTCCCCTGGTGCCGGAGGGGCCAGAGAGGCTTTGAGGAGCAGCTGAAGCAGCAGAAAAGACACTCGGAGGACAACATGCTTTTATCCTAGGCTGATCTCTGCATCGGCAGCTCCGGCTCAGTTTCCCTGGGGACCTGCCTAGCCAGGTGGGGACAGCTTAAATAAAAGCCTGGACCCCCACAGCGCCTGCCCTGCAAGGTTGGCAAGGGCACCGTTGCTGGGATCCCCCTTTCCATGCTTGGCTCTTCTCAGGAAGCAAGGAGAAGCGGAAGGTCCACCGCTTGTCACAGAAGGGACTCAGTACCGCTGGTGGCCTCATGGAGAGTGTGGGGAAAGCTGGCCTTGGCCTTGCCCAGCCGGGTCTGTGATCAGCCTGGAAGGTGACCACTCTGCCCTCATCCATGGCTCCCGTCTGACCCATAGCTGGCAACCCATGGAAGATGCCAAGGTCGCAGGCGGGTTTCCTTTGGCTCCCTCTGTGCTCACAGGGCAGCCCGAATCTCCTCGCCCCCCCCCGCTCTTCCCCCAATAAGGGCAGAGCATTTCTTTTACTGGCAGGAGCTTGCCGACTGCAGCGCATAGGCTGTCATCAGCCTCCAAGGCAGTGTCCCTCTGAAGGTCACCTGGGGTGGGGGCAGCAGCAGAGAAAGTGGTTCTCCTGAGCTGCTTGCTTGTCTGCTCTTGGGACGTCTGGCTGGCCACCCTGAGAGCTGAATGCTGGAGTAGAAAGGCCTCCCCAGACCTGATCCTGCACAAGTGTTCTTCTGTCCAGTTTACACCACACCTGTGGGGCCACCTCCACTTCCTCCTCCAGTGAAGTCTGTAAAAACACAGGCACTGCACATGATGAGTCAGCAGCCTTTTATGCCTCTACTCTTTGCTCCGTTGGCGGTCGGGGGGGGAGTTGTGCAAGCCAGTGGGACCCTTGCGCATGGACCCCCAGGCCCATAGCCAGAAAAGCAATCTGAAGGAGGAAGACAGTAGGTGGTTGCTTTTAATGTCTTGCGTTGCTTTAAAGTCATACAATGGCAGAGATGAAAGGGCTCCTGAGGGTCATCACAAAATTCACAGCGGGAGCGTCCAGCTCTCAGATACCTTGAGAAAGGCGCTGGGTCTCACTGAGCACCAGGCTATGGGGGAGTGCAAAGGGGGACTGGATGAATCCACAGGGAAGTGTCAAAAGGAGCCAAGGAAAGCTCAGCATGCCAGCATGCCAGGGAGGGGCTGCGTCACGGATGATGGGATTGATCCCAGGAGCAGGGAGGGAGGGACACCTTGTGAGGCTCATTGAGAGGATCAGTGCCCTTGCTCGGCAAGTGGCAACCCACGGCCTCCGAGCCTGAGATGCCAGCTACTGAAGAGAACCTGGGAAGGAGGGGGATGTAGCATTTGGGGGTCACCTGGAGTGGGGTCCCAGGTTTCGCTAGGAAGGGAAGGCCTCTTGAGAAGAGGAGTGTCCTGTCCCCCCTCCCACCCCTTTCTTTTACTGCACGGCCCTACAGCAGCACTCGAGGTGGTCCTGGTAGAGAGGAGAGGAGGCCTGGAGGCAGGAGGTGGCCTTCTGGCTGCTCCGAGGCCCGCCCGCCTGCCCCCTTTCCCAGTCGGAGAGCTCCTGCTTTCTTTCTTCCCCTCCAGTAACAGCCATGGAAGGTGTGCTGCTCTTCCTCTGCTCTCTGCTCGTTCCAGCAATGTTAGCAAATGGTAAGTACCTTTCCCACCCCTCCCTCCTCTGTTGGGAAAAGAGATCAGGTGGAGGGAGGGTGGGTGGGTGGATTGGGTGGTAGGGGGCTGGCCACTGGAGAGGAGATTCACTTGCTGGGGTCAGGGAGGGGCAGACTTGCCCACAAGGCCCCAGGGCTGTGCTTGTCTTCTTCCTCCCGTCTGCATACGAACACGCACACAGCCCGCCGCAGCCCCAATGAAAATCTTGGCACTTGTTCTCCTTTGGATGAAGGGGGCGCCGTTAAAAATGACAGAAGTCTTTGCATTATGACATTAGTTTTCTTGGCTATGTAAAGAGACCTTCTTCACAGGGCAGGAAACATGCCCTTTATTCCTCAGCCCTTCCCAGAAAGCCCGGGCTGTGCCTCCTGTCCTCTTCCTGTTTGCCATTCCTGGCCCAGGCCTGCCCCAGCTAACCCCCCCCCCCGGGGCCCGACCAGAGCTGTCCAAGGTGCTGGCCTGGCCTTGTCCTCTCCTGAAGAGCTGTGGACGGCCTTGGTGGGGGCAACCCAGGGCATTCCCCTCCCCACACACGCATCCACAGAGTGGGTGGGAAAGGCAGGTGAGATTTGTTCTCTCTCTCTCTGTTGGTCTCCATCCTTCAGTGTGGATTTTTCTCCTCTGTTTGCTCTTTCCAGTCACTGATCAGGAGAAGGAAAAGGACCCCTTTAACTATGGTGAGCCTCCGACCGCTGTCTCTGTGTGTGTGTGTGTGAGTGAGTGTGACTTCAGGGTCCCTAAGCCTAGCTCCGCATTTGAAAACACGATGTCTGTCTCTCCTTCCTCCCCTCCAGACTACCAGACTCTACGCATCGGAGGCCTGGTGTTTGCTGTGGTCTTCTTCACCGTTGGAATTCTGCTTATCCTGAGTAAGTCTGCAGGTCTCTCTCTCTCTCCCAGGCCTCTGCCCCTCCTTCCCCCCCCCCGCAAGATGTCAGCCATGGGGAGGGGCAGCAGCACCATGACAGGCAGCGGCTTGGATGGGCTTAAATTGACACCTGAGCAGTGACTTGACTCAAGGAGAGGCAGGCCCTCCTCTTCTCTGCTCTTACACGTCTTCTTTTCTCCCAAGCATGATCTTGAAGCTGGTGTTTGGGAACACCAGAGACACTTTTTCTTATTTTCTTAAAGTGTTTTCCCAATTATAGGGTTTGAGGGGGGGTGTTTTTTACATCACCACTTGAGGGAGCCCTGCGTCTAGGTGTAGCATTGATGCCTCATCTGGAGAAGCCACTGCACCTCCAGGTGTCATGAGGAAAACAAGCACCCCCCTTTTTTGGTGGTGGTGGTGGTTGTTATTGTTATTATTGTGATGATGATGATGATGATGATGATGATGATGATGATGATGATGATGATGATGATGATGATGATGATGGAGCCTCCCGTCCCAGGCACAGATTCCAGGAGGTGGTTCCTGTGCTTGTCTTTTCCGGCCGGGGGGGCAGTCAAGGGCTCTTCCTCTTGGCTGATCCTCTGGTGGGCAGGTGATGGTGGGCGTGCTGCAGCCGCCCCCTTGCTCAGGTGCTGTTCATCACCTGAGGTCCTGCCCATACCTCACCATGACCGGCTCCCCCTGCTGGAAGTGGTCAATCACACTGATCTGACCCCATCGTCCCAGAGGCCCAAATGTGGGGCACGTGGAGGGGGAGGCAGCGTCACCCACCTGCGGCCGTTATGGGCATGGCATCCAGCGGCACTTTGGGAGAAAACCCAACCATTTCCCAGAAAGGACCAGCTGTCAACGTTGGAAGGAGGGGGTTTCTCTCGCAACTTCACAGCACGTTCTTTCTTTTTCCAGGCAGGCGGTGTAAGTGCAACTTCAGCCAAAAGCCAAGGTAGGTGGTGTGTGCTTGAGGGCCCGGGTGGGCCGGCTCATTCCCCACCTCTCCTCCACCCCTGCTGGCTAGGTAACGTGACTCCCAGCCCTTTCCCATGTTCCGGAGAGCCAAGCCTCAGTGCTGGCCAAATATCACATCGGGTCACTTTTCTCTGTCCCTTGCCAGGGTGAGGGGTTCCTTGGACCAGAAGGCCACTCACAGCAGTTGCATGCCAGTCGCCTGCAAATCGGCAGATGCATCAGCTTCCCTCCCGGTCCAACCCTCAGCCTGTAGGGGGGTTGCTTTCCACTAAGCGCACATTAACCGCTCAGGAAAACAGGGACCCGAGAGCAGCCAGGCAGGGCCGGTTGTCCTTCTATCCAGCCGGTTGCTAGTGTTCATTCATGTTAGACTTGGGATTGCTTCTATCCTGTCCTTCATCAACCCACTGAAACAGCAATGTGCAATAAGCAGGCGTTTCAGACAACAGTAATGTTAAGGCAGGCTAAATTCTAAGCTCAGAGTGCAAGTCACATATATTTAAAATATGAACTTTCGGTGGGTCTGGGTGAAACTTCTGTCCTGCCCGTTCTGCTTCATTTCCCAAATGTTCCAGGTCTGTAGACACTGTGGCCTTCCTTCCACTTGGGTCACCTTCCCTTATTTTCCCACTGATGCTGCTTCTGCCTTTTTCTTCACTGTGGCATTTTTTTGCCCCCCCCCCCCGTTTTGAAAAGAGAAGATGGGAAAGCTCCAGAGGGACTTCTGGTTGTCAGGAAACACCCTAAGAGGGTTGTTCTGTTTGTCTGGTAACATCCCCAAGGTGGGGCTTCTCAGAATACAGGAGCATGATCTCCGCCCCAAGGAGCTTCGGTCAGAATTGGTTGGAAGAGAATAGAGCCCCCGTGGCTGCCTGGACACGGCCATGGGGGGCCTCTGGCGGGGGGGGCAGGTCTTTCTCTCTGCAGCAGTGCCATCTCTTTGCAGGGCCCCCGGCGATGTGGAGGCACCCGGAGAGAATTTGATCGCCTCAAACGGTAAGGGCCCCTCCCACGCTCGCCTCCACCTGGGACATTGCCTTCCTGGGGCCGAGCCGAGGGCAGGGGAGGCTTCCCCCCAGCTGGGAATGGCCAGGCCCATGAGTGCTGCATGTTCAGTTGGGGGGGGGAGCATATCCTCCAAGGGTGTGTGAGAAGGCACTGCACACACACCCCGGGCAGAGGTGCTCGGCCAAGGAGGAGAAAACCCCTTGCTGGAGGTGGGGAGGGGGCAGCCTCCGCCAGGTGCACCCTAATCCCCAAGTGGCCCTCAGTGGGGGGTTGGGGGGTGCGAAGGAGACACACTGGCTCTCAGGTAGGCCTTCTCA